AAGACTAGGTAAGCATAATTAGTATTTGGTATAGAATATTTTTGTGGTTAGTAAAATGCTCAAGGATCCTATGATCATATGTATAAAAGTCAAAGAGTGGAAGTTGTTTTCTAGGACAGCAACTATCACTTATAAATATTAGATGTTAGAAGGAGAGATATCTTACTCCATACTCTCTTTGTCTACAACCTTACTGATGTTAGGTGTTATGACTTCATAGTGCTTATTCTTCAATAAAAAATACCATTAAGATCAAATTATTGCAAGGATTGATATCACCTTTAGAACATATAATAATAGAACTAATCTATGATTCAAATTAGATAAGTTTATAAATCAACCATATTTAAATATAGCACAAAAGCTTCCATCAAACTATTTGATGTGACTAAAGTTATCATGGATTATCTTTAAAATAATTACTTTAAATTATTTGAATTCATGATTGAGGTAGCCATCTTAATTGATATATTTAAATGATTTAATTAAATCCATAAATTATTAATAAAGGCAATAGAAACTTTAAAAAGAGTAATTATGCCAAAGGTATATGTGGAAGCTTTTAAAGAAGAACTTTGATAGTGTTAAAAAGAAATAGAATGTGTCAATATAAAGCCAATATTTAAATAGCTTAAGTTGAAGGATTGTACAAATTTTTCATTGTTGATCTAGAATTGATAATTAAAGCTTAATTTTGAGACCAAATTATAGACTAAAAAGAGCTCACATCAATAAATATAAAAATTAAAATAATTGATAGTTTTATAAATAAATTTGCTAAGATATTAGAGTCTTTACAAGAATTAATAATAAAAGTAGTAAAATCTATTTTTTTTTAATTTTTTGTTTAAAAAATAGTGTTGTAAATCTATGGAAATAGTCTCGACCTAAAGATAAGCAAAAAAATTGTGATAGTAGCAAAAAGAGTTCTATGACACCACTCTATCCTTGGATGATAATTTGACATTATTAGTAATGATATCAACTCAAAGAAGTTGATTTAAGAAGATTTTGAAAATGAAGAGTCTTATCTTTGCTAAAATACTACATTTTGACTTGATCAAGAAATAAAACATTAGAATTTAAAATAGATAATTGTCAAAATAAAGCTTATTTTAGAAATAAAAAAACTATGGAATAATAAAAAAGCTACTTAGAAAAATTAAAAGCATCAAAATGATCTAACATTTTAAAGTTATAGATGGGTCTCAAAGAAGTATAGAATAGTTGCCAAACTAGTATTTGATATACAAATGGTGCTTAATTGAAGACGATTGTCTTTAATGACATCAACTAATAGAATAGGATTTTATTTGATTTACAAAAAAATAATAAGATAGTTAAGAATATGCTAGCTTTGATATAAATATAAGAGTAAAAAATTTGAGTAATATTTGTCTTTCAAATAAGCATATATTATATATCTATTTTTTTTATTAATCAAATTCAAACTTTTTAAAGATTCAATTGAGTCTTGAAATAAATTATATATTTTTGCAAAGTAAAATAAGTGAAATATATTCAATCTATCAAAGTAATATTATGATAGTAATAGATCAAAGTAAGCACTAATTTAAAAAGTTTTGGCATACTAGTGATTAAACTACAATAAAGATAAGATTCTTAAGAGTGTATAGTAAGCATAATTATAAAAAGATATCAAAAGAGTTATATCATCTATGCTTTTTTATACCTCCAAAGAATGAAAAAATAAAAAATATAGAAAATATGAAGTTTTAATGAAGTAATAAGTATTACTAAAAATAAACTTAAGATATCAAAGATATAAATCATAATAAAAATCTAAAAATAAAAATATACTCTTATATTATCTAAAGAGAGAAAATAAATAATTAAAAGATAGATGTAAAAATAAAATTAGAATGGATATTTCTAAATATAAGAAAACTATGAAGTCTTGAATCAAAATAAAGTACAAAAAAAGAATAAAAAAGAATAAAAAAAGCTTCATTCTTACTTCTATACATACTATATTTAAAAAAATTATGTGGTAATGTCCTATAGGCCATATTATACGTATCTAAATACTAGACATATGTATAATGTTTAGAAAAAGTTTTCAATATATGTGCAACATGACCAACTTGTAACACAAATAGCTAAATGTGAAGCATGTAGCCAATTTTTTGGCTAAGTTATTAATCTATCAATCACATATAAACATATGTAAAGTCTATTAAGCTTTAAAAAAGCTTTTAAAGAAGATATCAATTTTTTTGATCTATTTCTACTAACTTCTATTTAATTTTCTTTATCTAAATAAATATTTTAGTAAATATGGCTATTTTTTAGATAAAGTGGTCTAGATATTGTAAAATCTGATTATTAGGAGGCATTTGAGTCTAAGATAGAACTATAGCCTTATTTTTAAAGATTGTCAAAATGAGAGATATTAGATGTATGAAGTTTAAATGAAGTAAGAAACATTATCACAATACTTATGAGTCTTTACATCTTGAGATTCTATGAAGACTAAAAACATAACTTTAATCTTTTAAAGATCAAAAAAGTATTTTAAAATATCTCTTTAAGATAAAAATCAAATATTAAACTCAAAATCTACTCAACCATAAGTAAGTACATAATTAGATTTAGGTCTATATCTAAATTTAAAAGTTAGGAGATTTAAAGTCCTACCATGAAAAGTAATAAGATGATCTATTCTTTACAACAACATAAGACTTCAATTAACTTCAAAAACAATTACAAGCACTTATAAGATTTAAATTTGAAGTTGAAACAACTTCAATATACTTCAATAATATATTGAATATATATATAAATAATGAAGTCTCAATACTTAGCATCAAAAAGATTGCATACAAAGAAGAGTTGAATAAGATGACTTTCACTTCAAATATCCTTCACTTATAAAGATGGTAAATACATATGATGTATATTAACTTTATATCCAATCATCTTTATTATACTTTGTTTCATTCAATCAAATCCTAGGTTTGTCTTAACTTAGCCATTACACAAAATCTTAGCCGCCAGCCTAATAACTTATCTTAATTCTTTGCTTACTTTTGACCATTAGAAACTTACTAAGATAAATTTCTATGTAATTATAACCAAAAAAGAATTTGTTGATTTTCAATACTAGATGCAATTAAGTCCAATCATAAAAAGTTTTATTGTAGTTGTACTTGAATCAATCTATTGCCAAGCTTTAAAGCCAAATTCTAACATTCATATTTCTACCTAAAATATCAAAATAATAAATGTGTTTTTTTATTCAAAAGCAAGATAAATACTTTGTGTATTCAAAAGTTATAGAATTTATTAAGGTCTATATTGTAAATAAATCTAATGCTTCTAAAGAATGGCTAATGGTAGTCTAAGACATGTGTTATGCTAATTCTATTCATACAAATCACACAATAATATGGTGGGTGTATTAGTGCTTTTGCCATATACAAAATATCTAAGTCCAATTACAACAATGGACAACTTTGGGTATATTGCTTCTTCAATAGGTAAATAACAAGAACAACAATTCTTAATATATCTTTGTATTATACTAGTGTTAAATTCTTTGTAGCCATTGGTATGGCTTTTTGAAAATACTTAGATTTGTGCTAATGAGTTTTTCATTATAATTGGTTGTACCCTTATATCAAATAACACCTTCTATAGAAACACATCAAAAGTATTGCCTTGGACTACCAAAAATATATGACTAATATTACACAACCACATTACTCTAAGTTTTCCTTCCAACCACTCTTAATTGATTTTTGTTAGCCAAATAATTGGTAGCAACCTCTATATTAATTATAGAATGGAACTTCTATATTAAATTATCATCAAGCTCTATTTGAACAGAAAGATCTCGTAGCCACCCTTTCCATACTTTCAATGCATCAACTACTACCTTAATAGCATCATCTCTAATAGCTTCATTATTCTCAATCACATGCAAATTTTATTTTCCTTCCATGGTTGCATTTCGCAAACATTTAGACCATGCCTTGCATCATCTTCTTTGCCATCTGATAAACATAAGATGTATTAAAAGTAAGAAGGTACAATTGAATTCTTGACAATAAAGGAATTTTGAAAACCAAGCTCTTAACTATATTTTCTTTAGCATAGACATCTTTCTTATTAAATTTTTTTTCCAATATTGTAATAAAAACATATGAAAGAAGTTTTTAAATTTGATCATATTTGTTTGTTCTTGAATGCATAATCATTGATATTTACCATTTATATTCATAGATATATCCATTTATAGCCATAAATACATAATCATATCTTCAAAAGTCATCTTTGGCATTAATTATATTTTTTCTTTCAACTTCTTAAATTTTTAGCAATTTCAAGCAAAGTGACATGATTTTCCACAAATGAAGCAATTTCATATTAATTTGTTAGTAAAAATAGATTACCTAACCTAAATAAGAATAAGGTGATAAATCTTCAATTGGATATATATATATATATTTACATATATTTTTCCCTCTTGATTACTTTTGATGTATCTTGCCATTATAATCTATAATAAGTATGTTGATATTGATAAATTACAAAAAAACACAAGCAAATGTATATATGCCTAAAATCTATTAAGAACATATGAAAAAAAATTCTCAACATTTAGCATCAATAAGGCTACACACAAAGAGAAACATGGAATAAAAAGATACTCTTTAATAACCTTATCAAATAAAGAATCCATTTAATATAAATAAACTTCATTTACAATCATATTCCTCTTAAATTAATTTATCTAACCAAACCCTAATTTCTTCTAAACCTAGCTACCATCTTAATAACCTTAAGCCTTCCCTACTATTTAACTACTAGCAAATTACCAAAATTAAACATTAAACAATAAGCGATGATAATTTCACAAGATCTTTTAACACACATGAAGAGATGATCCACATGACAAATTTAACTATAATGCAAGTGAATTCTTTGCATAATGCACAAAATCTCACCATCCAGCAATATTGAAATTGCCACAGTATTTATGACCACTCAAAAAGGTTATCGAACATTAAAAAAAGAAGCATAAACATGGTTCGATGGAACCATTCGTCAGTAACATGATGAAGGTAAATAATTTTCCGTGTGGTTTTTGGCATGGCATGGTAATACCTGTCCCTGATAATAATACCTCATTTAAGAATGATTCATTAGAAGGTCAAATCAAGGCTCTCTCTGAACATTGTAATATTCTGCACAACCAGCAAATATCACACCGAAACAAACTTCGTCTAAAATAAATACCCTCAATACCTCTACGCCAGAAGACTAAAAAAGTTGTTCGCATATTGCATAGGTCTCACGTTTGGATGCCACTGCAAAATAAACAATTGAAACACACATAGCAACAAATGATAAATTTATCACAGAAATGAAGCACAAACAAGAGTAGTAAGATGACATTCTTAGTATTGAAGACTTAATGGCAATGCATAGCAAATCAAAGAAAGTAGCAGAAGGTTGCTCTCATTGACAAAAAAAAAGTAGTTCTAAAAATGTTTGGCGAAGGAAACTAACCACTGAGCTGAATTTCGTGAACTGAGGCTTCATATCTGGCGCCTGAAACCTTATAAAGGCTCCCTTATTACCCATCTGCACAAATAAGGCGGTACCAAAAGATCAACAAACTCATAATGCAAGAATTGCAGGGTAATTGATACTGCGCCACCATTACGGGTTCAAAGTGCAAGGTTGTCTAGCTTACCTGATCGCAGTAATTGGGAGCAGAGAAGACGGTAATAAGTTTGCCACCGTGGTCAAGTTCATAACCCTCATCCTTCACCTCATGGGACCGCACCACAAGTTCTGTTCCAGAAAAGTAAAACCACCCCGCAAGATAGAACAGAAAATTACGTTTCTAATTCATGCCACGAACAGAATTAAAAATGAACTAAAATACACTCATGCAACTCTGGTGGGATCGAAGGTGTGATCAAGACTACCAAATCACAGCACGAACTGCTGCTAAATGAAAAAAGAAAAAAGAAAAAAATAATCTAGAACAGTTAATGAAGCTCTGAATACTGAGTTCAGGAAAAATGAGAACCTAGATTATTGTCTTCCAAAAAACGATGGGTGACATCAGATCCAAATGCAACACCGACACCGCGTTTGCTAGGTGCACGCCCCGTGCCAGGGTGGGGATCACTCCACAGCAGCTCACACATTAACCCTGCAGAATACAAATTAACGAGGACAGTTACTGTGAAGTAAGATCACCAAATTCACATAAATCCCGTCACAATTGCAGCCTACAGTAAAATCCAAGAGATATACGAATACTTGGGCACGAATCATGTCATCAGGCTGCAGAAATTCGTGGACAATTAGTCCTTCAAAACCCCATCCCAGAATTGTAGTAGCACTTAGAGTATCTGTCTTTGAGTTATCACGTCAAACTATTTCAGAACTTGAACTTAACAGAAAATCAAGACTGGTAAGATACAAGGATCTATAAGGAGCACCACGTACCTTCATCTGGAGGCTCTCTAAACCGATCGATTGCAGCTATGTCGGATAACTTCACACCGTCACTACTGAAGAGTCCGCCATGGACTACAAACACTTTGTTATTCAGAACATTCGCCAAAGGCAAGCAGCAAAATATCTCTGTAAATAATTTATTCATTGTCTCATTGAACTTCGCGTTAACCTCCCCTTCAAAACCATATATTTTGTTCATGCTCTTGCTTTCATGATTACCTCTAGAAAGGTACAGCCCTATTCAGACAATAAATAAAACGAGGTTAGAGAGGAAGTAGAGTGAGTTAAGTGTGATCAGTCTCCTGATATACACTGAATAAGCTCATCAGAACATATAATTCCATACCACAATCACTCTTTCTAACACTCCAATCCCTCAACATCCACGAGGTAGTGAGTAAGGAAATTCAGGGTTCATACTCTAGTGCATAGAGGAGATGCAAAAACATCAGAAAGAAGCCAATAAAATCAGGCCGAGTAAAAGCACTACAACGCAGCAAAAGCAGAACGGCAATAAAAATAAAATAAAAATACCTGTAGGATAGAGACATTTGAACGCAAATAGCGTAAGAATAACTTCAACCGAAAAAGAGCCACGATCAACAAAGTCGCCATTAAAGAGATAAGGATTCTCTTTTGAAGGAAGACCATTCAGCTTGAAAATGTTGAGTAAATCATAGTACTGCATTGGTTCCAGAATCCAAGTTAAATACTCTGACAAGCCGAATGCAATGAGTACTAGACAGCGAACACAAAACACCCCCTCTAAAATAGAAATTCTAGTACCTGCCCATGAATATCACCGCAAACAGTAAAGTGACCTCCGTCAGGAATTGCAATGTGAACCAAAGTAGGCGTTGCTAACAATAGCTCTCGCGTTTTCAAAAGTATCTGAAAGGCGTATCTGCAGAAAATAGCCAGGTAGATTCAAAAAAAAAAGAAAAATGTTAACGCGACAAAAGAACGTTAGGGAAACTTAAAGAATATTTTAATTACGTGCGCTGTATTACCGGAAGTGATACCCAAAGAAATCAACAGTGCTATTTCTCACTTTCAATATAATTAAAGGTCTGATTTTCCAAAACATATTTGCTCTCAACTACCGTCTCTAATTCAGAGTTGCACAGAAACTAACTGGAGGCAAAGTTATAACATTTCTTAAGTTTTCGTCGTTCAGAAATCCATATAACGACAAACAAGGACTCAACTAATAATCAAGACAGAAACATTCGCAATTTTCTTAAGTTTCAAGAAAAGCATAAAATGTACTCTAAAGCATTAGAAGCGACCTCTGATGGTTACCTGGTATGGACGGAGCGCTGTTGCTTAAAGTCGTCTATCATCTTTGTCACAAAATCCAATGTAATATTATCCTCTTCTATTCTAGCCCCTTGATAAGAATCATCGACCACTGCAGAAACCGTCACAGCCATGAGCGTGACATTATCCAATAATTAGAGTGCATCCAGCGCAACTTAAACAAGTGATACATTAAATATCCTCGACAAAGTTGAAAAGTTTCAAATTAAACAGGCTAATAAAAATCTTCTTTAACAAGAAAAAAATACATGTCAACTAACTTGGTAAAAAGAAGAGTGGGAAAACAAGACAGACAAAAATATTACTCAGAAACTGGCACGAGTTAAATTACCTATAGTGTGGTAGTCCAAAGAATCAGCAACAGAATGTTTTTTTTCGTCCTCAGTTGCGATCGCCTCTTCAAATTTAGCTTTGGTGATGGCTTTTTCACACTCCCTAACCTTCTTTAAAGCATCTGGATCCTTGGGCACAATCCTTTGGACCTAAAATCAAAAAACAGCCAGACCAACTCCAAAAATTAGGAAAAATATTAGAGGCTACCGAAGATGGATGTAAACAAATACGACAAGAAACGATTTAACTAGAGGACATGCAGCTGCATTTCAACTTAATCAGACAACAGAAGCAGACAGGATGAGGAGAGTACCTGCCGAAAATCTTTAAGGGCTTTCACAAATTTTCCCAATGCCAGGTATGCCGTTCCTCTTCTATAGTATCCCTGCATAAAAGAGGACCTAAGTGTCTGCAGTAGCAAGTAACCCTTGGACAATTCCTTGTGCATGAATGCCACATCGAAAGTATAGAATGCTCATCAAGACGAATTAGAGCAAAAGACATTTCATCAACACTTCACTAGTACTCACGAGGGATTCACCACACAATACCTTTATATATTTAGAGTCAACTTCAATAGCCATTGTAGCATCCTCTATAGAACTTCCGTACGATTCCATCTTCGTATGAGCAAAAGCGCGATTTGCCCAATATACGGCATTCTTAGGATTCAGTTCAATAGCTTGAGTATAGAGATTTAATGCAGAGGCAAATTTGTGTGCTGCATCATGATCAATAGTTAAATGTTATTATGAGCATAAGGAAATCACAGTTGGAATACTGCTCATCTATTTCAGTGAGTGTAATGTTGACAAGTTAGGGAGGAGGGGGGCGGGGGAAGCACGAACAAAAATTATCTTGCATCCGGCAATCTAACGCTTCATATACTCGAATGAAACCATTAGAAAAACACAACTTCGACCATATGTACCTTGAAATGCGGCATTAGCTGCTGCCTTAAGTTCCTCAGCCTTTGCGACATCCACCGCAGGCGCTTCTTCCACGACTTGGGCAGCCATGTTGTCGATACTTCTTGCAAATCGAAGTTGACTCCCAAAAGTTGGGTGTATAATCACACCTCCTGAATCACTCCTCTGAACTGCATACTAGAGTAGATCATATGTACGTGGGTAACCACTTTCGACAGTCTCTCTGTAAGACAGGACAAATTTCTGGATAATATCAGTACTGGAAGATGCAAGGAAAGTCAAATGGGAGACAAAAACATGCAAGCAATCATTAGAAGTGCGTACAGCTCACGTTCAGCAACGGTGCTGTCATATTCTTCAAAGAGTTGGAAAAAGAAACATCGTTGGGCTATTGGTACATGGCAATTAATACAATGCCTAGCTGCACTAGTGAGCAGCTTACTTACTATTCTGGAATTAACAAGCCTATTGCACGAAGCCACTAGACCTTCATGGAAATCCTGGCCGATGGATACTCTAGACATATTCATCAAATATCCCATCTCCTCATGTCAACTGTCGAGTTTGGTCCCTAATTAGTGCCAAGACCTAAACGCAAAACACTTAATTTCAATAATACATTATTATTTCAGTTGGGATTTTAACTGTAACACATATTCTGGAGCACATAATGAAACTCTCAGCATGTTTAAGGGCAATATCCAAAACCCAGCATACTCTCCTACTCTAAAGTAGCATAGTAGTGCAGGGATCAAAATCATGACGATAGCGAATCTAGCCGAAAATAGTGGACCTATATGAAATCTCAAACTGAAAATACGGCACAGACTTTCCGAATAGAACCGATAGACAAGTAATTCGCTTTCACAGCACCCCGTGTAACCTGTAAAATTTATCTCTCATAATCCCTCAAGCTATCCAGAGAGACACCGTTCTCGTCAGCCATTCTGAAAAAAGGATTACAAGCCTAAACCTCTATATGTGTGTAATGATTTACGGATGAATCACAAATTTGAGTGCCAGACCGCAATCTTAAATGAACAGTGAAGCAGGTAAGCTAGGAAAGCTAAAAAGGCTGCATTACGCGAGATTGAACCAGGTCAAGCAAGATTGCCTGCACATATCAACACTTGCATCATACAAGCGAACGTTACAAGACGCTGCTTCCTACGTTTCTCGCCTAACCTAGAGCAGGATCGCCGCACAATGCATGCAAGCTGGAAATGGTAAGAGAGGGGTCATCCCTCAGTGAAGGCCAAAAACCGACACAGTCACAATGCCACGCCAATACACTACGCATCGAGAGGCTTCAAAAGCCTGAGAAACATATCTCCTCACACGGCCTGGACTCGCCCGCGACCCTAAAATCAAAAATCCTCAAAAAGCATACTCAGATCGACATCATCTGCTACAGAGATTCTCTCCACGCACTGCAGACACTCACGCAGCGCGACACACGTTCAAGAACTTGGACCACAGCGCGGACCAGGACCAAAACTGAAAACAGAGGAGTATGATTCTGAGAGTTGTCGGTCTCGTCTGCTGTGAAGCTAAAACCCTACACAACGAAGGTCAACTGAAGAAGCGTAACAATCCGAGGTAACGAGGGAAGCGCAGTGCAAACCTGGCGGCGATGAGAGCATTTTCCTGTGGTGGTGCGACGAGGGTGCAATCCGGGGCGGAGAATAAGCCCACAGCAGTTGTGGAGAGGAAAATCGACGCAAACCCTGGCGGTGTGGTGCTACTGGTGCTGCTGCATGACGACGACGAAAACGACGACGACGACGACGACGAACTGGCAAGGGTGATGAGCGAGCAGGCACGGGGCCTGGCTGAGAATCTGGCCGAGGACCCCCCCCCCCCCCCTTCTCACCCCCGATGTAGCCCATCCACCCCTCATTCACTTCGTTTCTGTCTGTCGTTCGCCCACTCTCTGCCTCTTGTTCGTACGCTGTTCGTCATTCGATCAGTTGTTTATTTGTCGTTCGTTGCCAACTTCAGTGTTGCGTAGCACTTTCGATCTGTTCTGCTTGAAACTAGCCCACGAAATGGAGATTCAAACCGTGGAGATGTTGTGATGTTTTGGTAAAAAAGTATTGGATCAATACCCTGACACACCTTGCGGATCTTCGGAAGGCGAAATTTCGGGTCACACCGAAGCGATACCTTCACGCATATGCCGTATTTTAACTGATATAGCACCCGGCCACTCTTCCAAATCCTCTGCTTCTGCAAGGGTCTCGTCTAGCTCTTGAGTTACCTGCGTACATAAAAATATAAACACTTCATCAGCGAGTCCATGGCTCTGAGTCTTAGTGACGTGCAGATTCCTATCTGGAGACGTGAAGATATCAAATATCTTCGGCAAGTTTCAACACAGTTTCTACTAATCAAGATCGCATCCGCATCAGTGACCAGCTCAACGAAGGATTAAAAATGGACGTAGGTCATTAAGTCATTAAGACCATGAAACCGACCTCGTCAACAAGAGGCTTATTTTCCAGAATCTCATGGACATTGGCATCGTCGAATGCGAACATTTCCTTTTTCAAGCGTTCAAAGAAAGCATCTGCTTCATCAATGCCTTGCACATTCCTGCCTATACCACCAATGTGTTTTCACAGTGAATAAGCACAAAAACTGAGAGTACTCAATGATATTCATGACGAAAGAAGATGTACTACAATGACCTTTTTTTCCACAGGGAAGTTGAGACAAGCATGTGAAAAACCTCGTCTAGAAGTGATCAATTATGTGCAGTGAGCAATTGGAACTCACATGCTAAGAAGAGCATCAATATCCTCTTCCTCAATTTGGAGGTAAGTTCCTCGTCGTTCTTACTCTCAATTTCCACTGTTTCCTCATCCCCTTCATTGTCTTTGTCGTCGTCCTCATCAAAATGATCTTCCACGTTCATCGTATAGGTTCTTGGCAGTTTCGAGTGTGCTTTTGAAGGTGCATTTGCTTGTGGTTTTGCAGGTCTTTTCGCAGTCACCAACTTAGTTTTTCTGCATTTCAGGACATTCATTGGATTTAAATCAACGTATTCTAGACTCTAGCCTATAGCAGGTATTATCCGTCATCTCACGAGTGCGATAGTACTGAATTTATGCGGTGTCCTAAAGGATTATAGATCATGCTGTAGAACAGCGAAAAAGATAAAAAATACATTCGAACTGAAAATGAGCATAAAATTACCTGTGTCCACAGCTGCATTTCCACAACATCGAATCCAGTCATTTTCGGAGTCCGACCGTGGTAGAGCTTACAAAGCATGGTAACTGAGATGACGAGACGGTTCCTACCAGACGTCAAACCCAAACAACCTCTGCTGTCAGATGGGAAGCCGTGCAAGATAGCTAGTTAAGAAAGAATAAGCAAAGGCAAATGCACGTTCATTGAAACCAGCTCACTAAATGGAGATTCAAAAAGTGCAAAAACACAGATGCTTGATTACCTGTCATCTACACTGCGCATTGTGCATTTTGAAGAAGTCCCTGAATGTTTGTATAGCGAGTCAAAACCCTGCACGAGCTGTCAGTTCTGTTAAGGAACTTGCAACCAGTAGGTTTCTGAAGAGATTATCAATGCAACATAATAATAAAAATAAAAAAAACGGCTAAAATTCTATTACTGGATAGAGCAACAACTTACAAGAATAAAGGTGCGTCCATTCTCATTGTCAAAAACTCCTTCGACTTCTCTCAAATGGCCCAGCTCGTGCACTTTCAGCGTCTGCAGAAGTATCATTTCAACCGTGTCAGAGGCATGACGTGAGAGATACAGAGTTTACACAATATATTAGCCACTCAAATTGCATCTTCGTTGCTCTTAAAAAGCTGTCACCACAGGAACACAGAGAAGGTAAAAAGGTCGTGTTTCGTCACCCCAAATAGAGGCAATTGTAGACATTACAGTGCCAGTAATGCTACTGAACAAAACATCAGACCCCGACACTGGGAGATGACCGTGAGATAGACAAAGACATACCTTAAGACCAGTGGCAGATTCTTTCACCACATGCAGGCGCACTTTCAGTTTTTTAGTCACTGGTGAAGGCTTGACTGAATCCCAACAAGCGAAGTAAGCGCTCAGTAAACCACATTCAACAAGAACATCCAACTTCCCTTTTACAACTTACTCCACAGAGCCATAAGTCAAAAAACAGATAAAATTTCTCACGCTAGCAAAGGAGATGTCTAAGCACTCAGTGAATCATATTATAATCAAACAACGCAGCTACTATGAAAGTGATAGCCCCCAAACGAAGGAATGAATATGAGTGGATATGGTAGAGCTCTTGAATAAGAGTGGGACATGGAAAAGGAAAGCACCAGTGAGGGCAAGAATGCGATGCTGGCTTGACGGGCGGGAACGACAACAGCCAGAACCCCATGAGCTAGCTGGTGCTCTTTTCTATGTCACAGAATGGCGCCGCAAGCACATGTAGATCTGCGGAGGAAAATTCAGCACCTCCCTCGCCTCGCAATTCTTCGTCATCCCAAGCGAATAATTCTTCCATTTCCAGATCGAATGCCATGCATGATCCTGATCCAAGCTCTGTTTGCTTGCTAGCTCTTGTGGCATCCTTTACTTCATGCGTTTCATTCTTTCAATAGAGCACCCAGTCCGTTTCTCACACTCTCCAAACCTGTAGACAATACCTGATCACGGTAGCCTCGGGCAGAGTGAAGTGTCCAAGAGTCCAGCTTTGTAGGAGCAAGAGTTGAAGAGAGGTGCTTTGTCTAAAGTATAAATTACATGTATTGCATAGAAGAAGGCAAGTGAAATACTACCATATTGAATACTGCCATTTTGGTTAGTTGTATATCTAGAACCTCTATGTATAGTTTAAACAATAATATATTAGTTTTTATTTTTAATACTAACATTTTATTTCTTTTTTATTAAGTCACTTAATAATTTATTTTATCTTTGTTATGCAAAACAATTGATATAGAATACTTATATTATAAAGTAATAGTGGCATTGTATAACATGTTGCTTGTTCTTAGCTTAAATATGAAATTATATTTTAGTATATGAGAGCAAATATATTGTAGATACATTTTTATTGCATTGTATTTCTACAAAAAAATTGTGAATTTAATTAACAAAGCTATGAGAAGATTTTTAATTATATAATATTCCAAGTATAGAGTATATAAAAAGAATATTTATTAAAGATAGAAATTATAAGATTTTTTTATATAATATTATTTATATGTCAAAAAAAGAATTTTTCTTGCATATCTATTTTATATATATTATATTTTTTAATATATTATATGCTTTTATTTTATAAAAAAAATGATGGCATTGCAATATCTTAATAAATAATTTGATTTAAATAAAAAAATTTATGGTGGAAATAATAAGATGGCATCTAAAAATATATTTTTTAAAAAAATATTTAAATATAATTGCATAAAAATATAATTTAATTTATTAAAAAAACGATTTTATATGCAAGTGCACCAATGCAATAATGTATTAAAGATACATGTACATATATCCAATAAAATTGTTAAAAGTTTGTGATTCACAGTCAAAAAAATAGTTATGATTTTTTTTTAATATCATAAGTAGCCAAAACTACAACAAAATGATTTGAAGAACAATTAACACAAGAAAAAGTGAATTTAGCAAGTTGAGTCTTTGAATTGAAGTTTTGTATTTCTTTTTAAGAAATATAAAATAAAACTTTAAAAGATAAAGATGTAAAATTGTAGATAATAAAGTACTAAAAATAAATATTATTTAATGTACATATTTTGCTACTTTTGGATAGTAACCAAAAGCTTTGTACATTTAAAAAAAAAATGATTTTTTGATTTTAATGGAATTGCAAGATTTAAATTTGAATCCAACAACATATAAAAAATTATAAGTTATATGATTAATAGGCCATGTAACATAAGAAAAATCCTTGTAAATAAAGTATGTTCAATATAAAATATTATAAGAATTATCTTTACAGGTTTGTTGCAAAAATATAATTTAATAAAAATAGTTGTGTCTTCTATAAAAAAAATTTAAAAAACAAATTATATTAGTTATTATTATTACAAAATTCTAAGTTCAAGGCAAAAACAATTTGGCCTTGTTTGTTTATAATGTCAATTTAAAATTCATAGATATCAATGCCAAATGCCTAAAATGATGTGTGAGTGTTGGTAGAATGTTTGTAAACATCATCAATGACTTAAAACCCAATTCTAAGCTTCATCCATGTATGGCAACAATGGAATACGGAAGAAGAGGTTGTATTAAATGGAACAAGTGTAGCTTTGCAAACCAAAATCAGTTGTCTTGCATCGATCCACTTCTATAGTATCTCCCTTTGATCCAATCATACATACTTTTCAACTAGGTCTAAAGTATTTTGAGGTTGAACTAGTTGCGATGATTGTAATTGTTAAGGATTTTTATTTTTACAACTCATACAAAAGACTCATACAAAAGAAACTAGGCATATTAAATCAAACAAATAAATAGATCTAGTTGATAAATTTGAACGATTTCAAAGAGTTTGTATACTCAAAAGATAATCACATATTCATTGAGGATTAAATATATATAAGGAATTTGATCCAATGCTTCCAGATGAAAGCTCATTCAACGGATTTGATGTAACAAATGTATTTAGATTAATATACAAAATCAAGAGTTATCATCAAACTCTTATACATCTTCTAAGTCATAGATTTGGAAGTACATGAATGATGAGGATGTAGTATGTTGCCTCAAGCCTGTCGTCTTCTATAAGGATCATTGGGTTCAAGTCTTGTTTTTTTTTTTTTTTTCTTCATTTTTTTTTGATGTCATAGTTGAAGAATAGCAAAAGAGAAAAGAAATGAAGGAATAGAGCAATAATGTGTGGTAGTAAAAATAAATGGATCATAATAGGTGAAGAAAAAATGAGACTTTTTGAAATAGAAGAAAATGAAAGGAAAGAGTAGAAATATTATTAACCTACTTAGTGACCACTCAAAAACAGGGTGAAATATTTTTGCTCTATTTGTATACGGCTGCTGCAAATTATTTATAGAGGAAAAATGTGAATTAAGGGTGCTAACTCAATTTAGAGGAAAAAAAATTGTTATTACTAATTTGGTTGAGGAAGAAGGACTTGAAAAATATAAGTTGGTATGGAACAGAGTAGATTATGGTGGCAAAGATCTTATAGCAATACAAAACTTACAACAAGATTTAAGGTAGAATAATATGTGAGGCCAAACTTCTAGGATGACTCTTGCCATTAATAATTCTTATTAGTGAGGTGCATTGAAAAGAATCATCTTCAAGATTTCTAAATTGTTTAGTTTTCATTTAGCTTACAATGACACCTATAAATGTACATGTTTACAAGATCTTTAAGGCACTCCATAAGATTTTTGTCTTACAACAAACAAATAAACAAACAAGCAAACAAAAAAAATTGATATTTTGTATTCTTAGATCAAGAATGCCATCTACAAGTGTGAGGATAGTGAGAGTCATGGCTTTGTACCATATATATATATAATATATATATAATATATATATAATATATATATATAATATATATATATATATATATATAAGCACATGGCATTTCATAATGATAGTAAAAACTTGTCAAATAAAATAAGCTTAGAACTTCAAGTTTTCTATGGTTGATTATAGTTTTAAATTTTGTGATTATACGTGCTAAATCTAGAAATAGAAGCTTTTTAATTTGGAATGCATGTTGATGATAACTAGCTACATGAGTACTCAAGAATGTAAAAGTCCAATTGAAATTAAATGCTTCAAATAAGTTTTTTTGAATTTTTGAATTTTTAAATTTTTGCAACTTGGTTCCTATGTAGTAAGTGCAAGGTACAAGATGAAGAATGGAGTGAAATTCTTATTCAAAGTGTCAAGAAAGAAAAAGAAAAAGAAAAAGAAAAAAAAAAAAAAAAAAACTCTAGATAGCAAAGTCCAAAAATTTGATGGTAATTATTGCTAGTTTTTTTCCATTTTGAGAGTCTTACTTGATTTTTTTAATAGATGAAAAGATTGTAAGGATGGTTATTTATTCTTAGAGTGTGTCTAATACTTTGTATATGAAGCTGAAATTTATTGTATTAAGAAATCATTTGTAGCTATTAAATTTCACAAAACATAAAGTTTTTGTTATGATATTAGTAAGTTGTTAGTCTATAGTAGTGAATAAGATGCATATTTTCTTCTTATTGACCATCTCTCATAAAAAGTGGAGGTGAATTTTTGAAATGCTTTATCTTATTGTAATATTGTGGATTCTTAGACATCTTGATGCTCAATTGATTATTGTAATAGATGATATTACAAATATACATAATTACTTAAATGAAAAAATAATAGATAGAAAGTAAATGTAAATAGATTTGATAATATCTTATCATGAAGATTTATAGAAACTTCATAAACAAGGATATGACTTTAATATAGAATTTTACCACATAGCTTTTTGTTAGATAATATATATAAAAGTAAGAGTGAAACCTTCCTTATTCTTATCAATGTCTTTCTTATCTTTACTCTTGTTTCTAGACTCTTCAATTTTCTTGTCATTAAAAATAGCTATTCTGATTTAATATTATGCTATCTTTGAATAATTATCTATTCTTTTCTAATGATACAAGAATATATTAAACTTTTGATTTTTTGAGATTTTTGTCCTTAATAAATGGCTGTTGATCAACGTTGAATGAATCTAAACTCTAGATATAGGTTTTTGAATTATATTACTTCTTTGGAGGCTTCAACTAAAGCTTTGTATTTAAGTTCATATAATGATAATACAATACAATTTTTTTTTTTTTTTTTTTTTTTTTTTTTTGACTAAATAAGTAATGGATATAGAATTGATAGTAAAGATAAATGTACATGTAAACTATTATTAATCAATATCTCTTCTTTAGTAAATACTATTGTAGCCAAATAAAGTGAACTTCTTACTTCTTGGAATAAAATAGCTTATAGTCAATGTGTCTTTAATATATCAAATAGTACATTTTACTACTTTGAGATGTGCATCTTGAAGTATTGTCATATAACGTGATATAAGATGAATACCAAAAAATATGTCATAGCAAGTATGCATTAGAAATATAAGTTTTTCTATCATGTATTAATAGAGAGTTTTGTTGCCTAACAAAGTTTAGGTATTGCTATTCAATCAAAGGCTAGCCAAAAATAAAATAGTGGAAGAATTACAATTAGTCAACTTAAATTCTTCAATAATGTATTTGGTATAATTGGCTTGATAGAGCTTGAATTAATCTTTGTGATTTTTTAATTCAATACGTAGATATTTGGATTAGAGACCAATATAAGTCATTTTGAAGTAGTTGTATAGTAATTGTTGTAACAAGTAGATTTTAGATATGTAATTTT